GGCAATTTTGTGAGTAACTCGATGATCGAATCGATGTCGATGATGATTTCTCGGGCCGTTCGATTTGATAAGGGCTGGATGCTTTATTCATATCGATGTTGTATTGGTATTTTGTTGATATCGCGTCAATGTCAATATTTATACATCAATTTGATATTTGGAAAATATATGTCATAAATGTCAGGTGATTCTTGATTAACTGATAAATTATTGTTGATAATCTACTTGATATCGTATTCGAGTCGATATGTGGATATATCGATTAGATATATACAAGGTGTTTAAAAAAAAGGGTTCAGGACTTTAAGGGCAGATAGTATTCACAAAATGGAGAAAGTTCTAATAAACATGGGTCGGAAAATTAATATTATCGGAATTATAAATAATAATAATTATTATTATTATCATTTATTTTAAATTAAAGCAAGTGTCTTACTCGCTTCTGATTGTTTCGTATTCTTCGTAACTCGTCCGCCATTCATTAATGAAGAGTATTTTGCTTTAAAGGAATCCCTAAAAAAAGTCTCTCTCCTTTTGCTCAGAATGTTAACAAGCACCTATTTTCTTCCAATTTATACACACGCTTCACCAAACAATTGTTAGTCGCATATCCTCGAGAACACTGAACAGTTGCAGAGGCCATTATAAAATTTTCACGTGCTATATTAATATAAGTTATAGTTATAATAAATACAGTATTAGAAAATTTCCTGTAAACTGCGCAAGCACTAGAAGCGAGTAGGTCACATTAATCAAAATACACTGCTCAAAAGAATTATGGCACAGATAATTTATCGCCGAAAATTGGTCAACTTTGACTGGTGAATACTTCGCGAAAAATTATTGTAGACTAGTGATTTTTTTTCAAAATGGAGTTTGAAGTCTCTACTTTGAGAATGTATCTCCATTTTTTATATGCGATGCACTCCTACCTCTGTAACCTCTGACATCTGAGGGCATGTTTGGTATACTGAAAATTGCAAAGTTTGACAGAATGCACGGACGTGGACAATTTTTTTTTTTCGGGGACGCCGTTTGTATCGTCATAAAGTTCAAATCTTCCCCTTCAATTTGAAAAAATGGAGTCGCTACAATTTTTTTTCGCAACGTTACAACCCTTCAGAAATCATACGAAGCCGTGGAGAATACGGAGAGAGTTTGTTTGCCGATGCTAGGAATGTTAGCTATGGTTAAAACACGAGCCAGGAGCTGAAAAACATGCACGCGTGCTTGCGTGTGTATGTCAACAAACACTTTTGCCGTTGCTCCATTATGACTTCCAGTCATTTAATCCGCCGGCCAGTATTTGGCACGAAAGTAAAAAACAACGATATTTTTGAAGGGCTGTAACTTTGCGAAAAAAAATTGTAGCGACTCCATTTTTTTTTTAATTAAAGGGGAAGATTTGAACTTTATGACGTTGCAAACGGCGTCCTCGAAAAAAAATTGCCCACGTCCGTGCATTCCGCCAAACTTTGCAATTTTCAATATACTAAACATGCCCTTAAATGTCAGGGGTTACAGGGTACATGGTAGGGGTGCATCGCATGCAAAAAATGGAGATACATTCTTAAAGTAGAGACTTCAAGTTTTGAAAAAACTTTGAAAAAAAATCATTAGTCTACAATAATGTTTCGCGAAGTAATCGCTAGTCAAAGTTGGCCAATTTTCGGCAATAAATTATCTATGCCATAATTCTTTTGAGCAGTGTAAATAATTGCTCGCAACTTTGACAATATTAATTTTTCAACTTACGTTTATTGGAATTCTTATCCTCCATTTTGTGAATATTATCTGCCTTTAAAGTCTTGAATCTTTTTTCAACTACCCTGCATAAAGCTAGATATTAAAAGCAACGACTAGGTCGTCGACATCTTGCAGATGTCGCGATGTAATCTTGGAAATATCAAATCGATCTCGGCTGGATTCTTCATCGACTTGTCGATCCGACGGGTTACACGATTATGCCGGCCTGTGCGTATTGCGGTGCTGCGATTCAAGGAAAGAAAATTGCAATGCTCGCAAAATCGCACGTCTCGGAAACGCCCCTGCTTTTATCCTCCGCAGAGCTCCGAGATGGTTCAGTCTCGGTGCGAGCCTTAAATCAATTGTTCGTAAATGCGTTCATTTTGTACCACGCCAAGGACTTGAAGAGGCAGCCGCATGCGCAACAAGCTGATCGCTGTTCGCTCGTCTGCAATTTATTCAATTCGACCGACGCGACGTCTCACGGCCGCTTCGGAGATTGCCGACATGTCGCTCGTCACTGCCGGCGTTTTTTCCCGCGCGGGCCGACCAGCGACAGTCTTTTTCCCTGCCACCGAGGAAACGTGCGAGCCTTCGTAATTGGCCGGCGCGCAGGCAACGTTATTAGGTCCGTAACTGGCGCTATGCAGCAATTGCTGCTCCTCTAATAAGAGCCGCGCTTGCTTGGTCATAAAACGAGAAGCTCGCGAGAGGATCTCGGCGAGTTATTCTCGGCTGATGTATGGAGCGTTCGTTGGAGGGACTCGAACGAGAGGTGGGTTGACGAGAGATGCGGCAGCAGCTACGATTTCGTACGCGCAATGCCACCTTCGTCGTCGGGCGGGGGCGGAAGGTGAAGGAGCGGCAAAGTGCAATAATGACAGTTCCGCGCCCCGCGACGATCTCGCGGCGCTTTTGTTAGCGAGACGAGGGGGCAGGGAAGCGAGGGAGAGTCTTTGACTGCGGCAATTTCCTTGAGGAGAGGAAGTTTGCATCGTAATTATCGTATTGCGTTCTCTTCCTCATAACCCGCGCGCGTGCGCGCGCGCGCGGAGTCGCGCGGATGAGCGACCTATATTCGCGGATTTAGACTTTCGAGATTCGATCCCGGCGCGATAACGCGCGCTCGGCATTCGCGGTGGCTCCGTTGCGGTTGGCCGGTAATTATATACCGCGACGAGAATACGGTCACGGTGTTCGGCAATTTATCGGCGACGCGTGATCGAGCGCTCCCATCTTCGCCCTTTCCTTCTCGCTCCCTCCCCCCCCGGCCTCGCCGCCCCGCCCAGCCGGCGGAAATAGCTGGGACTAGCTGTGTTATTGACCCGCTGCTGAATAATTGCGTCGTTAATGAGTAATCAGGCCGGCGGTCCTTCCCGATGATTAGCGAGGCATTACGCGACAGTTCGGCCATAAAAATGAGCGCTTCCGGGCCGAAACGGAGCTTCGCCGGAGGACGTAATAATCGCGTAGAATTATGCACGGCATCGGCATACACTCGGATGTCGGCGGTTCTCGCGACGGATGAGTCCTCCCGATGCCGCGGCGATCGATCTCGCCCTCCGCCGTGAATCTCGCGACAGCGACCTTCGATATTCGCATTCGGAGCGCACGATTAACGGACGAGCGATCGAACGAGCGCACTCGGCTGAACCGTTCCCGATGCTCGATATCGCGCGCGATGCGAAGGTTCCTCGCGTCCCCCTTTAATGCGAGATAAACGTGTAATATTCCCCGAAACTTTGGCAAAGCCCGCGTGCGCGCGCATGGCGATGTTGGTATTTATCGAATAACGTAATATCGAGAAATACTTGTTACGCAGGTAATGCCGATATATTCTCCGACGTGTATACACTGCGGGAGCCAGTGCGGTGGTTGAAACTTGCCGAGATATCAAATCTTCGTCTGCCGCGGGAACCTCAGTGCGCTAACTCGAAGATTGCGTAGCTTGATTAAATATTAAGCCTCGAGACACGAGCATGCGCGGCAGAATGAACGCTAAAATTGGAGCCTCCGTACGTGCCGCGCGTAAATTGCCGCTAATTTCTTACCTCCGTGCGATTAATCGTTAAACGCACTTTGCGACACTGCGCACGCGATGTTGTTGCAGAGTCGGCGTCTATTTATAATTCGCGCGCGCGCGCGCGCAAGCGCGATTATTCGAACGTCCCTCGCTCGCGTGTGAAAGTGTGCGAACTAAAACATCTATCGTACAGAGAGGGAGGGTGGGGGAGGGAAGAGGGATTTTTCGTCGATTTTAAACGTTGATCAATTCCATAGTTTGAATTAAAAATCCGGCGAGATAATAGCCTGGCACACCTCCGTTCGCCTTTGAGCAAGTTTAACTCTTCAAACAGGCGTCATGCATATTCTATCAACGACCTAACCAGAAACCGCAGCTCAGCCTTGCGGTAATGTTAACCCAGCAGCTCTCTCCGCGGATCCATACAGCCCCGACAGGGGAGGTATGCCCGGGATCGCGGATTTTGAAAAACGATGAAGCAGCCGTAACCACAACGGCAATCTCCGCGCCACCTTTGACGCGCGACGAGGATATTGCGGGACTCGTTTTTTTCTCCCTCCACTCCCACTCTCCTCCGGTCCTATCTAATATCCACGCTCCGTTTTAAGCGTCGCTACTAAAAAGTTATGAATCCTCGACGGGGCGAACAAGTTATTTCAATTCCTCGCACTTTGCTCTCGATCGGTTTCTGCGTCACTAGTGAACTCGCCGAACGCACGGACCGCTTCAACGGTCGAACATTGAGATTATTCCCCGCTCCCCGCACCGGGGGTTACGCCGCTGTTTCGCCTCGAAGAACATGGAGTGAAATTCTCGCGCGCTGAAGTAGACGACCAACGAGGTCTCTCGATCCGCTCGACGAGCTGATTCACCGTGTTCGATTTATCTGTCAATCGAAAAATATCATTCGGGACGATCGCGCTATATCAGTGATCCATTTATAGTGGCGTACCGCAGAAATGAAATCCGATAATCCATTTGAAAGATCGGTAAGCAGGTTGCCGTGAACAGAGGCGGACGCGGTGCGTGAGCCTGGAGCGGCTGTGCGTCTCGCGACTGTTTATTCACGACGACGCGGCCGATGTTCGTCGCGACGCTGTCATCGCGTGCGCGGATTTTCTAGCGTAATTAGCGAGTCGCCTCGGCGACTTGCAGCGCGGGGCACGGGGAGGGACGAGGGATGGCTGGCGGGGATGGTCGCGAGAATGCGGGAATTACCTCTGCCACTCACCTCCTTGTCGCCCAGCTGATGAACTCTGCAGTGAAGAAAGGCGGTCTGACCGACTGCAGTGGTGACGTTCCGCGGCACGTTCGTTTCGAAAGTCGGCGCGCCGCTGACGTTGCGACTCCCGTGGACGAGACTTCCGCTCAAGACTCTCTGATCGCGAGTGTACGTACCTGGGCGACACACATACACAAAAAAGGAAAATATCAGCGTCAGAAATTAGCGTGTCTCCGTGGCATGGTGGCGCGGCTGAGCCGCGAAACTCATTAAGCGGTCGCGATGGCGATGGCAATGGCGGCGCGGTAGTAATACCGCCGAGCTTTCTAAAGCCGACACGGAGTTGCAATGAAACGGAAATAATCGCGTAACTCGCCTTTTGTCGTATACTCGCGTTTCTACGGCTTCGAGTCACTCGGACCGTTGAAGTGACTGAGATTATTTCTGCTTTCTGCCACGGCAGGAAGCCATTTGCCGCGCCGCGCGGAGAAGGAGGAGTCGGGTGAGTCGCTCGGTCGCTCGCTCGCTCGCTCGGTCGCTCGCTCGCGCAGCGCCATTTATAAAATTAAAAGTCTGTATTCATACCGCTCATTTGGCGCTGAATCTGGCCGTCCAATAGAGCCGCGGTGCGCTCGCGCGAGGCGCCTCTGTATGTATATAATGACGTTTCATTTCGGTAAATCATAGCGCTGGATGGCCGGAGTTTTTAGCCGTCTCAGGCCGAATGTGCGCTCTCCCTCTGCATCACGCCATATTGCGGCAGCTCTTCTTTTATATTACGCGTTACCGCCCGTAAATTTCACGACGTTTAACGTTTACCGAGTGTGGCGCGCGGCCGAGTTACGTATAGTGGCCGCTTTTGTATAAATTCTCACATCGGCATTATTAAATTTACGAGCCGCGTTGTATAACGCGGAAAGTAGTTCGCAACTGTTTTTTTCGCGCAGCCACGGCGCGGCGCCTCGTAAATCGCGGGCTCTTCTATTATTCAGCGAAACGCCAACTAAAAATCCACGCAACTTTTGCCGCCGAAATCCGCGTCTGATAAATCCGCCGCTTGCGCGATCGCCATCGCCCAGTCGAATCGAGAAAGAGAGGGGGGCAAGGGAGGGAGAGGTCGAGTTTCGTCGAATTTTCCGTGGGAGAAATTTCGCGACTTATTTCTATTTCTTTCCGTCCCGTCAGATTCGTCGTTGTCAGGGCGGCTTCCCGGTGGCGTCGAGGACTTATTGTTAGAACCGTGTTAGAATCAACAATGACTCGAGTGGGCGTCGTGACGTCGACGCTGACCGTTGTAAGCGTTATCGGGGCCAATAGCAGATTCCGACGAACGCCGTCAGCGTCTACTACTTAGTTATTGATGGTTGCTGGCCGAATTAGATAAGCTCGCAAGTTCGTATCCGGTGCGCGCCGCGCGCGCGGGTAAGATACAGATCGTAGATTAATCTGCAGTTTGCGGACACGAGGATGCGGCCGGAGCGCGGCTTAGCATGACCTCGCCCTTTATCCGTTGTTTTGCGTGCGGATCAGTTTAGAGGGAATAGGTTTTGCGAGCGCGAAACGTTACGCCGTGTTTGCGCACCCGCGACGACGGCGTCAGTGTTGCTGCTATTCGGCTTCCGCGGGTATTAGCGTTAGATCGCTCGTTAATTACCGACGATATTTACCCTTGCTGCAAATGCCGACGTCGTTCGGCGATGGCGCGGCGAAGATATCCGCTTGGGAAACGAATTATCCCCGTCGGTGCTCTTGTATCACATTTCTTGCGTTATATCATCACACGATAGGATTCGTGCGCTCTAACATTGTAATGAAAATTTTCGTTGCATCTTGAAGGCGAGCAGAGATCTTTTTACTGCGTCGGGATGAAAGTTAAATTTATTATGTCCGCGCGTAGAGAATATGATGGCAAATATATAACATTCTTGCCTCTTAAACTGTTAAAAGCTGCCATTTTAATAAGCTATTTTATGGATTTAATAAAAATTCAAGCTTCCCCGGGGTTTCTCTCCCCCCCTCTCTCTCTCTCTCTCTCTCTCTCTCTCCCGTGTGCACTGCTACGCGCCTCAATATAAGTATGAGAGAACGAAGACTCGAAAGTCGAAATTACTTGTGAAGAGTATTAAAAATTACTCTATATTTTTTCCCATACTTTTGGTGTGCATAAATCGAGTAAGAGTCGGGGAATATATCCAGAAATCGAGTAACATGGCGCTTCTTTTTACGAAACTGCGTGAACTTTGGCGGTTAACCCATCGCGGTGGAACATTTGAATAAGACTCGGATTTTGCATGCAAAGCTCACCGCTGGAACAGGCCCATTCGGCTGTCGAACTAATATGAACCCCTGCATTATCTCTCGCATTTGCTACCTTCGACGACGCTCAAATTGCAATTTTATATGCCTCGAAGCCGTGATATCTCGACGCACTTCGCCATGGGTTTCCCGCTGAAACGCGAGACGGACTAATTTACCGCTACGGCGACGTATAAATGAACGAAACTTTTGCTTTATAAATAAGCAAACAGCTCGTTAGTATCAAGCCCGAGTATTAAGCGCCTCGCTCTTGACACTAAAAGTCCTGGCTGACTTTGTGTCTCAAAGAAACGTCGTTCCGCGAAAAACGTCGGTCTTACAGACTCTTAAAGCACGTCGAATGACTAAACGCGCGAACGGCAAGTACGTTAATCTTATTATAAGAATTTACGTGAAAGGAGGGGAGAAGGGAGAGAGGAGAGGGGGGAGATTTGCATCGGGCGCTACTCTCGCACACTGGCTGTGCATTCGTGTTATACGACAGCCGTAGCTTATTTTTGAGAGAGTGGCTGCCTATGGGCGTGTACGAATGCTCCGAGCTTTTAGCCCCTTTGGATATTACTACTCTTTACCTAAGTGGTCCTCCCTCCCCTCCTCCGGGGAACATTCGAGTTTCAAGCATCCGTGCGTGGCAACGGAGGAAAGGTTCCTTCCCTGCTTATAACAGTAAAAATGGTTTAAGGGGACTCAAGTCCGACCGCTGTAACTTAGATTTATGACTACGTTCTATCGATCCGCCGATAATTAATTGCCGTATCGCCGAAATCACTCGGACTGCGGATATAAATCTCGGATATAAATTACGCTTCCAATTCGATCGCAGTCTTCTCAGCGTGCGAATTGTTTGAAAATGACACTGCTGATCTGACCAATGCATGTTTCTTTATGTTATCATCAATTTAAGTGAGAAGCGGAGAGGGAGGAAGACACGAAACATTGTCACATTTCTTCTATTATTTCTCTAAGTTATATTTCTATAAGTTATATTTCTCTATAAATATTTCGAATAAGTTTGCGAGATTTTAATCTTTTTTGCGGAATTTCGATCCCGATGTAACATGGGACGCTGGAAGTCTCCACGATACTTGCTCCTTGTATATCATAATTAGCCATAATTGTTGTCCGTTCTTTACCCTCGATTGCAATGATCGTCTAAGCTTCGGCGATAAATCCGCGTACATTTTCGTCTTGTAAGAAAAAAAACAGGAGAGAGATCGGGAGTGTCAACGTCGGCGATTCGAAACATTTTTATATTTGTGTCATTCATCAATAGTTGGTATCTTATTATTAAAAATCGTGATCTCTTCCGACCTCGTGCACTAGTCTCCTTCAATCTTTTTGATTTTGTGCTCTTGACATAGTGTCATGGAACGCACTTCCGGTTACTTTTTGTATGTGGTTGGTCCACCGTGTAGAACGTCCTTTAGCTTTGCGCCCTTCACATTGCCGGAGATTATCAGTTTTTCCGGATTTGCCCCATCCTTCCTGGCGATGTGACCAAAGAATTGGAGGATACGCTAAGGACAAATTGTTGACAGTCTGGTCCTAATCTTCAGTTGTTGTAGTATGGAATTTTTAGTTTGATATTCTGTTCAGGAGACGCGAAACATCCTTCTCCAGCACCACATCGCAAACGCATCTATTCTTCTCCTCTGTCATTCATCATCAATAGTTAGTATCTTATTACTAAGAATCGTCATCTCTTCCGACGTTGTGCACTAGCCTCCTCCAATCATTTTGATCTTCGCCACCTTTATTGTACAAGTTTCAGATCCGTATAGAAATATGGCAAAAATGAGGCTACGGACAAGCCTTATTTTGACAGTATTAGAAATGGATCGATTTTTCCACATTTTGTGTAAGCGGCTCATAGCGCCATTTTACCCATGCTAATTCTTCTCTTGATCTCCATTTCACAGCTGCTCTCTCTGTCAATGATGGATCCTAGATATGTGAAGTTGTTTACTACTTCCAGAATGTTCAGGGCCCCGGTGAGCTGTAGTGAATTCTGTTCATCGATAACTATTTTAGTTTCTTGCTTGTTGATCCTTAAGCCATAAAATTCACTTTCATGTTCTATTCGCTATAAGAGTTCCACCATTTCGCTCTCATTTGCTATCAAGGTAGTATCGCCCGCGTACCTCAAGTTTGAGATCCTCTTTCTTACTGCAGAAACTCCTCCGTACCAGTTCTCTAATATCTTCCGCATTACATATTTCCCATATATGTTGAATAGGTTGGGTGACAAAATGTAGCCCTGGCGAACGCTCTTACTTATGGTGAAAGACGCTGAATTTCCGTTGTTAATCCTGACTTTCATCGAGTTTGCAGCATACCAATTCTTAATCAGAATTATTAAATGTGTAGAAACTCCCATTTTCAACAGGAGGATTCTCCACAAGTTTAACCAGTTTACACAGTCGAACGCTTTTTAATAGTCAATGAAACATATGATTATTGGTATTTGAAACTCCTGACCTTTCTCTATTAGTTGTCTCATATTTAAAATTTGCTCTCTTGTGCCCTTTCCTTTTACAAAGCCTACTTTTGGAATATTTGGTGTTCCAAGTAGGATTTAAGATGATGTTGAATTACTCTAAGTAGGACTTTGCCGGCATGTGAGATCAAGGCTATTGCGCAGTAATTGTTGCATTTGGCGGTGGAGCCTTTTTTATGAATCGGGACGAGGATAGAGGTCGTTCAGTCCTTAGGCTATTCTCCTGTCTGCTAGATTTGGTTACATAGTTCTGTTAGCAAAACCCCATTATTACCTAAATTCTAAAGCAGTTCCCCATGTATCTTGTCGATTCCTGTGGACTTATGCTTCCTTAGAGATTTTATGGCAGCTCAAACAAATCTA